TAATACTTCATTTAAGACAGATACTATTGTATGCTTTTTTCATATAAATATCAGCGTGAAAGCGTTTTGAGTTGGTATTGCAAAAACAACAGTAATACACATTTTATGTACAGGTTGTAATAAAAAATACTTCTAGAATTTACCTTATAGAGGAGCTCCACTCAAAATAAAAAAGTCAGCAGCTACAAAAACTGTAGCTGCTGACTTTTAAAAAAAATAAACAGACTCTTACTTGTCCCTCGATTCAGCAGTGTGTTCACACTGGCTGTTCTGTGTCCCCACGAGCTGGCATCTTTTGTGTGGGCACCTCGGCTCTGTGACAGCTTGCGACTTCACAGCCGGGTGCCCACTGCGCATGCGCGAGTAGTGCTGCGTGAATGGTCCCATAGTCTTTTGAGACCTGTCAAGTGTCCTAGAAGACGAGGGGGAGGACAACTTCTGCTTCCGATCGCCTTGGCAATTGCAGCAGAAGTGGGAGCGGGTACCTGTCAAATTCAGGTACCAGCTCCCCAAAGGTGCCATTTTCCTTTAATGGGGAGCCGGGGATGAAGCTTTAAAGCAGAACTTCCCCTTTTGGGTGAAGCTCAGCTTTAAGGCCTGGTTCACACTAGTGCAGCAGTGCTTTCATCCGATTTCCAATGCAATTATATACTGCAATTGCAGTATGACTTGGTGTGTCTGACGTGATTTTCATACTGCGATTTATGGAGGAGAATTGTTGGGGGGAAAAAAATGCACTAGAATTGCATAAAAAAGCTTGTAGATGCATTTACATTGATGTCTATGGGGCATAAAAAGGCAATGCATTGCACAAAAGTAACACAGGACCCTTCCCCAAAGTTGCATCGCAGCTGTGCTGCATTGATGTGAACAGACACCTTTTGAAAGCAATCTGATTTCCATTGTCATGCGATTCTGTGCGACCCAAGTTGCATCTGAAATTGCACCAGTGTGAACCACATTTAGATTGTACATGAATACCATCTACTTTAGCATAGCACACTGGTCTGAGTCTTCCCAACCCCACCAAGATTTTATTTAATCTGTTTTGGTAAGTTGTCTATACCTGTTGCTCTGTAATAAGGCAGCTGTGGTCTATATATGTGTATAATGCTGTATACACAGGCACAAGGCCAAGCTAAGCTGTGGTAGATCAAAAGGCAATGAGTAAGCAACTCTGTCAAGCAGCCATAAGTTATGATATATGGGAAATACAGAAAGAGCTCACAGCATTATTTTACTTAGTAAATGCTGACACTGCCTCTAAATAAAACATTTCTGAAGGTGGAAACCCCCTTTAAATTAAGGAAAAAATATGCAACATGCTGGGGCAACCTTAGGCTTTCTTGCTGTTGCTGATCTATAGCATAATCCCAACATAACCAGTTGCCCAATCCAATTAACAGGTATAGAAACCAAATAATATATAATATATATATATATATATATATATAAAATAAGAGTCATCATTATATATTTTTGTTGTTTCAAAATTTTCATCTGTAATTAGAATTCCTGAATGCAGCTAACTCTAATCTCAAGTAATAATGCTTTTTTGTCAATAACCATTATAAAAAAAAAAAAAAAAAAAATTCTAAAAGACATAATTAAAATAAGACTTTCCCACCCTTAACCCTATTATTTTTAAAATAAAAATATATAAATATACAGAAAAATAAACGTCTCAAACATAAATAAGAAAGCACATAATGGCAACAGGGATAATCAGAGAGAAATGGCCTGGAATATTGAGGTCAGTGACATCACACCCCACAGCAGTGTGAGAATTCTCTGTCCCATGGCTTGTCAAATTGATTCTTCCTAAAGCAGCTAATAAAGTTATTTTAGAGTGTCTCCACAGGGAAGGAGCGGACCCAGCTCGCCATAAGTAATGGTATACAAGGGAGTGGGGTACTTGTCATATGCCCACACTGGCCACTTCAGCTTTAAAGATACAGTAATATTATATAGTGATGTCTCAAGGACACATTAAAAGTACCGCGCACCAGTATCAGTGTACAATAATGACTTCCTGTGCCAGGACACTGGCAGCTACCCCTACCCAAGCACTTGTTAATAGTATCAATCTGGGGCTCCTCATGAAGGTTGGTATCAAATTCCTTGAGTCCAGGATTTAAGGTCTACCTTCTATCCCTTTATACATGCTAGTCTTTCCTAAAATCTGCATAATATTAATATGCATACACTTTCCCGTGGATTTTCCATCTATTGATTTATTTTCATCCTTGCACTATTCAACAACTTGCAACATAGCACTATAAATATATTATATAGATATGTGGCAGATGTACTGTAGATCTACAGATTTCCTGATTACAACAGTTACTTCCAACCTTTCTCCATCATATGACCCAATTCAGGATTAGTTAGGGTCTTCAAAAGCCTTACCCTGTTCAGTAGAGAATGGAAGAGGCGTATGGACTTGCTATAGTGAGAGGCATTATAGATTTCAGAATGGATCTTATGCTTCTTTGTCTGGTCACTTCATATAAACACAAATTAATTTTTTTCTGAAAGGTGGTTAAACCTGGTGTTAAAATTATTGGCCAGATAACATTACACATTTCACAAAACGTTCCCTTGCCAGTTTGTGTATACCACATGCTCAATGTTATCATCCAGTTATCTACCACCACTACTGATGGCAGTTTTGTATGACTATGGGCAGCTTCACACTGAGCCACTGCGCTTTGGCTACAGCGTAGTATACCCGCGGTATTGATGTGGGTGAGCTGCGCTTTGCCATAGGCTTCTATTATGTTCCACAATTTTGGTGCCGAAGCAGTGTTCTCATGGTTTTGGTGCAGGCTAGCTTCACTTTGCCATAGACTTCCATTATGTCCCATGGTTTTAGTGCATTTTCTGAAAGTGCACCAAAAGTCCTGCATTCATGCAGGACTTTTGGTGCGCTTTCAGAAAAAAAACCAAAACTAGACAATGTAATAAGAATATGGCAAAGTGCAGCTAAACCGCACCAAAACCACTGCAGCCGGTCATTGTGAAGTCTCCTTTGGCTTGTTTCCTTTTGTATTACTGGCACACTAACCAAGCAAAAAAAAAAAATAATAATATTTACAGGGAATACTGGAAAACACTATTAGAATATAACTGCTTAGATAATTCACCTTTATAATTTTCAGTAACGGATGTTTGTTCCATCATCCTGTACTTCCGCTACACAGTAGGATCCCACATATATGGCTAGCTTCAGTATGCTCATTTCACATTGGCAATATGACTGCTACAGCAGTATATATGAATGCATCAGATCAATGGCTCTTATGACTGAGCAGCACATAAAGCTAAGGAGGAAGCTTTGTGTGAGATTTAAAATTTGCTTGTGACCAGGACATTTAACCCATTCTTGACCAGTGCAATATATTAATTTCAAAGAGCAACTGGCAACAAATAAGTTAAAAACATACAATAAAACTCAAGTACAGCTGAGCCCTTAGAGGAAGGCTTCTCTATCTGAAGCACATTCTAGCTTTAGCCAGCACCCTCAAATCTAATCCCAGGACAGTCGTGAAGCTGACACTCCACATGGAGCTGTATTTTGACTAAAAAGGTATTACCCCGGCTGTTTTTAAAATTACATGATTTTTTGGTTTTCTTATTGATCTGCAACCAGGATTTTCTTTTCAAACTGCCAAAAGATCTAATGTGGTAGCTGTGTACTCCTCTAATCTTCTAAATCACTTACTCTTTCTTAATGCTCTACTTCACTACCAACCTCCTGTTTGCCACCTTAATTGTCAACTTCTTATTCCCCATCTTCACATGACATATTGCTTTCATAACTCTGGGCTATTACTTGTCCCCCACACTGCGTACATTTTTCTAGACCAAAATCCTATGAACCAGACAAAATGAAACCAACCCCCATGAGAGTGCATATATATATGGACTGTCACAGCATCGCGTGGTATAGGTCATCTCTAGCATATGGTAGAAAATTCATCTACATTAGAAAATATAACATGCAAACACTTTTTTTTTTTTAAAGTGAACCTGCCAAGTATGCAACTCTCTGCCCATCCTACATATCACAATAAATATTGTTAAAATAAATAAAATATATTAAAATAATAAAATGTGAAATAACAAAATAGATATCCATATGGATTTCAATCTCTGCATTTTGATTTTTCCCCAAACAATATGAGTGAAGGCTATTTTTTTTACTTCTAGTACAAATATAACGTAGGAAGGGTACATTGTGTGATGGCATAAGTGCCAAAAACAGCATAAATATCTTTGATATAAGGACTATAATATTTTGTGACAGGTTTACTTTAAGAAAATCCAATGCTTTTCCTAAATAAAGCACTACCCAGCATATAGAAGCATACTAGTTCTGAGTTCCACAGCCACAATGTGCTGTGAATGGAATTCTGTAGTTTAAATATGAAGCTAAGCCTACCTAAAACTGATTTGCAGTTTTGGATTGGCACAGGTGTTTTGAATTCGCAAATGGCTTATTGTATCCCTTTACGAGATTTGCCCCCCCAAAGCTCTGGACTCTGTTTCCCCATGTCAGGCACTGCAATGTCTCCTCTTGTCGTGTTCTCCAGCAGGTCATGATAACAGATTCCACCAGGAAGAGTGAGGGCTCCTCTCAATGACTGCATCAGGAGGACACAACTACTGCCACGGTGAAGAGATCTTACTACAAGAGCTTTCCTAGCAATACAGGAAGTTGGTGGTGGGGCAATTCAAACCATTGGATTTCACCCAAAACTGAAACGTGGATGCACCCTGTAAATTACTGCATTTTTTAACATAATTCACGTACGGCAAGCCTGGTGGGGGAAAAAGAGAAAAAAACAAATAAAACACAACCCTCTGGAGGACCAATTATGGAAGTCTTATACTGGTTGCTAGCCACATCTTTTAAAGGCTGCAGTCTGAAGTGTGGCTGATAGCTGTTGGTGGTGTGAGATGGGACTGGATGCACAAGGAAAGACGTTTTGCATTTGTTAAGAGTAAGAGTTCCCAGAGGATTTCACAATGGTGATCACACGCTGGTGGCAGCAACTTTTGCTGGAGTGATGGGCCCTAGGGACACTGAGTGTGCAAAGTTCTGCAGAGCCTCATACTTGGCCCTTAGGGCATCCAGCTCCAGCTTTATAGTAGAATTCTCCTGTGCCAGCTTCTCCACTTCCTGCTGGAGGTCATTCTTCTGCTTCTCTAGTTCCTCCTTTTGGGAAACACGCTTCACACGGCAACTGGCGGCGTAGCCCCTGTTCTTTAGGGTCCTTCTCCTCTGTTTGAGCCGTACCACTTCTTCCTTTGATAAGCCACGCAAGTGGTGGTTAAGCTCCCGCACAGACATTGACATTAATTCATCATCTGAGAGCATTGGAGTGTTCTCCCCAGTCTCTCTTTTCACCTACAAAATAAGGATCAGAGTTTGTCAATGGAAAAAGTCATACATAGAAGCAGCACTGAATTAAATACAATACTTAATTAACACAACACTTAAAAACTTTATAGGCCGAACTTGTGTTTTTTTTTTTTTTTTCTTTAAACCTTGAACTATTTAACCGATTTAAAAAAAAAAAAGAAAAAAAAAAGGGTAGCTGTGTACTGCTTTGTACCAAAACAAAGTCTGCATGCACTGTATGTAACCCTTGCTATAACTATGCTTCTCTCTGCATGTTACATCATTACTGGACTTCAGTCCATTGTATCACTGACAAACACTCTGCAAGAGGTCTACTAGTCTGTACAGGAACACAGATGTGGGGGAAAGGCAACAGCCAACAGACCTCCCTTCACTTTGAACATTTGGGAGATTTTGTGATGGAACTGGATAGATTGGGTCTGGTTTTGGAGGATAAAGTCTGAGAGTAACAAATTAAACCCTTCTTGGCCTCTGAGGGAGGAAGCACACTTTAACCACTTCAATACCGGGCACTTCTACCCACTTCCTGCCCAGGAATTTTCAGCTTTCAATGACAATTGCGTGGGCATGTAACGCTATAACCCAAATTAACTTTTTATAATTTTGTTCAGACAACTAGAGCTTTCTTTTGGTGGTATTTAATCACAACAGAGTTTTTTCTTTTTTGCTTAAAAAAAAAGAAAATTTGAGAATTTTTGTTTTTGTTATAAAATTTTACAAATAATTGTTCATAAATTTAGACCAAGATGTATTTGGTTACATTTCTTTGGTAAAAATAACCCAAAATCAGTATTTAGTCTGTAGGAAAGCATCAAGTATAGCATCAAGTCAACGAAACTCCTGGGATATTGATCTGGTCAGCTAAGTAGCAGAGGGGGTTGTTAATTTCATTAACACCAAAGCTACTGCAACTGATTAACAACAGGTGCACTAGATGAGCAGCAATGAGACTACCACCAAAACCAGAGCGGTTTTACAGGTGGAGGCCACTGACTTTTTTTTTTTCCCATAGTCATCTTTTCTGACTGTTTTTCACTAGTTTTGCATTTGGCTAGGGTCAGTGTCACTACTGGTAGCATGAGGTGACACCTGGACCCTACAGAGGTTGCATAGGCAGTCCAACTTCTCCATGATGGCACATCAATATGTGCCATTGCCAGAAGGTTTGCTGTGTCTTCCAGCACACAGTCTCATGAGCATGGAGGAGATTCCAGGAGACCAGCAGTTACTTTGTATGTACAGGGCCATGGAAGGCCCTTAACCCATCAACAGGACTGGTAGCTGCTCCTTTGTGCAAGGAGGAAGAGAATGAGCACTGCCAAAGCCCTACAAAATGACCTCCAGCAGGTCACTGGTGTGGATGTCTCTGACCAAACAATCAGAAACAGACTTCATGAGGGTGGCCTGAGGGCCCAACGTCCTCTAGTGGGCCATGTGCTCACTGCCTGGCACCATAGAGCTTGATTGGCATTTGTCATTGAACACCAGAATTGGCTAGTCTGCCACTGGTGCCCTGTGCTTTTCACAGATGAGAGCAGGTTCACCCTGAGCACATAACAGACATGAAAGGGCCTGGAGAAGTCATGGAGAACGTTATGTATGCCTATAACATAGTTCAGCATGACTGTTTTGGTAGTGAGTCAGTGATGGTCTAGGGAGGCATATCCATGGAAGGACGCATAGACCTCTACAGGATAGACAATGGCACCCTGACTGCCATTAGGTATTGGGATGAAATCCTTGGACCCATTGCCAGACCTTATAGTGGTGCAGTGGGTCCTGGGTCGATGACAATGCCCGGCCTCATGTGGCAAGAGTATGCAGGCAGTTCCTGGAGGATGAAGGAATAGATAACATTGAATGGCCCCCACACCTGCCTGGTAAATGCCTCTTTGAGCATGTATTGGTCTGTAAAGTGATTAGGAGGAGCGAATAGTTTACAACAGCTTAGGAGTTTTCCAGTTACCATACCGAACCAGTTCAAGTAAGGAGTTTACCAGAATTTTTGATAGTTTTGGGGCTTTCATGAATCTCAGACTAGTAACTGCACTGGTAGCAGCTACAGGTTATTCAAATATTAAGGTGGCATACACCCACTGTATTAAAAAGAACCAAAATGGTAGTTAAGCTTGGGAGCTATAGCAGCTGGTTGTGACTCCTCAGGAACACATTCATCAATAAAGATGGACAGCGCCTCAATATCATAAGGCTTGGAGACTACCACAGTGGCAGGCACATCTGACACACATTCTTGAAGAGAAGGCATAGAAGTACACTGGCAGCCTGGTCACTGTAAGTGACAGCAAGAAGCAACTGATAGAACTGTGTGTCTTGCAAATATGAGTGATAATAGGAAGCAGTTACCTGAAAGTGACACTATAACCAAAGTAAAAAATATCATATATGATGCTGTCTGTCAGTAGTATCAACACAGCAGCCTTTGTTTTTCTGAGTTCCTCTAACATAATTTATGACCTGGTAATTCGACCAATAAATCTGTAATTACTCAGCTTCCTTTAACAGACCAAGCTGTCCACCAAAAAGCAGTTACAGAGTTGAGACAAACCACTTAAGACTGGGGTCTTACAATGGTCTGCTTTTAGTTATGTAAAACCTTTATCCCAAACGGAAAAAAATACTATTGCTGTAACTGCTTAGCAAGAGTTAGCTATTTAATGGTGGATAAAGCGCCTGGATTAGATTGCTTGCACTCATGGGTCCTCGAAGAGTTGAGTGTTACTAATTTTTAGAGACCACTTAAATGTATTGGTGCCACAAGACTGTTGTGGTCCCTATATAAAAAAAAAACTACAGACTACAGTTTAACCTCCATAGTCAGGAAGACACTTGAGAATTTGATAAAAGACCGCATAGAAGAAGTTTTGGTGGAAAACAATATTTTAGGCAATAGAATGGTTTCATAGGACAGGAGTTGCCAAACAAATCTGATGTCTTCTGTATGATCACATACACTTTAAGCTTCTTATGCAGCTGAGAACAGACAGCTGGAGGAGGAGAAACAGCAGCACATTGAACTTTCCAGCAAATGGCTATGGGGGGTGGTTTGTAAGCATAAATCGGATTATTAGAGTAGAGCACACCATGCTTTGCTCTCCTGCGTAATGTGGTCAGTTTTTTTTTTAACAGGAAAGAGAGGGACGGGCAGGAACAGGATACGTTTTCATACAAGCACATGGTACAACAGGCACGTTACGGAAATATGAAATGTTAGATTTACATGCTTTTTAAAGTCTATAGGCAAAAAATACAGTTTGCAAGTTGGTAGAAACTGGCTAAAATACCATATTCAGCAAGTCGTGATAAAAGGATAAGTTCACTTTCTGAACACGTTACACCCGTGTTTAGGGTGTTCAAAGTGGTCTGGAGTGGTAAGTGTCCTATGAGGCTGCAGGAACCCTGACCATCTGTCTGGACAGTACTGATTGGCCCTGTGCTGATCACATACACTCTCCCCAAAAAAAAACAAAAACTCTAGCAATACACAAACCGAGCATGCAGCTTGCCCCCAAGGCTCCGTACTATCAGCAGATGGTTTGGGGACAGTAGTAGGAGAGTATCAGAGAAGACAGGATCAAATATCCTTTACATAATGCAGAGGATTAACCCCTTAGGTTTCAAAAGTGAATATAACAAACATGCTTTACTGCATATACAGACTTTGATTGTTGTGATTTTATTGTTGTGGGTTTAACACTTTAAGAAGACATGTGGCTACTCCATGAAATTGGAGGAGAAGCGGTTTAACCTTAAACTGTGCATGGTTTTCTTTTTTTTTTTTTTTACTGTTAGAGTGGTAAGGATTTGGAACTCCCTTCCACAAGCAGTGGAGGTTGCAGGAAGTGTAACAGCGTATACCCAGAGATGGATGCGGTTCAACAATTTTGGCTTCAACCTCCATCTTGGCAAAGGGATTAACCATCCTGACAAATATATTTCTCCCTCATTCTTCCCCCCTCCCTTTCTGAGAGTCCCAGCGACATTTGGCCAGTGTGTATGTGTGTCACAGAAGGGTCATAGGAGCTACAAAGCCCCCCAAGGGAGCTGGGGCCTCCCTGTCCAAAAAACCTGCAAATTGTAACACCTTGGAAGAGATAAGGCAAGCTTTCCCAGGAGTTGAAAGAGCTAATAAACCTAACCTAACTCAGCGTAGGTAACAGAATCAGATAACCTTTGTTAAAATCCACTTTTCCCCTATGTCTCTTATCTTGGAATATGAGAGACTTACATAAAAACCGGGCATATCGTCAGATTGGCCACGAGAAGGTAAACAGTTTGATAGATCACTCGCCTTGTCTCAAATACATAGGAAAGCAGAAAAATAGATCTTGTGAACTGTTCAGTATAGAATTACATATTTCAACTCTAATCACTCCTTAGACGTGTCTGCATAATAATCTACCTGCGGGTGGAATGTCACTTGTGCATAGGAAAAGTTATGAGCCCAAATATGAACTACACGAGATTTTGGCTCTAGTTTAGGTCGACACCCAGACCTACACTCCCTACACGGGGTATTGGTCCTTGACGTCAGAGACACCCCCTGCTGGGGAACTACAAAATAGGCTGTCTAAGAGTATAAGTTGAAGACGGTCTCTGTTATATATATATATATATTATATATATATATCTCTTACATCTTTTTTGTAAATTTTTTTATTGCACCCGTTTGACCTTTTAGTAATAAATCTTTCCTTCTGAAAGTGTTGAACTGTTTCTATAGCGCTTTATTGCAATTTACGAATTCCTGCCTCTAAAGAGAACGCTACTGTGTGTGTTTAACCCTCTGCATAATCGGCCTGTGGTGACCGTATTATGCAGACGATTATCTCAACCATTATAGTGTTTTAGTTGATAATCGCAGAGTTTCCTCTCTCTGTGTACAAAAAGGAGGTGGTGGCAGTGTGAAGGGTTAATTGCGTAATTAACCTGACCCAGTAACAATCGCTCAGGCTGCCGGTACATCGATGGTGGTCCAATTCGCTGGAAAATCGTTGTGCAGGGTGCAGCTGGGTGTGGCATTGTTACGCACGTGACATCGCGGTTTTAGATCGGCTAGTCCTTTGGTCACGAGTTTGGTGAGAAGGTCTGGGGTCTGATACCGCAATCGTGACAGGAAGTACCAATAGTTTAAATAGAAAAAAAACTCTTAGATGGGCGTCTTCGTGAATGCAATATATAGGGATACAGGAGATATTGACTTAAAAACACACACAAATACACAGCCACATAGGTTGAACTGTATGTCTATATTCATTATTACCAAGTATGTAAGAGTGTAACATACAACATGTTAAGCATCCTACCCCCCCCCTTTCCCTGTGACAGCAGGCCGTGCTCCTCTCCGCCACGCCATTCATTCACAGGAATCCGTGAATGAACGGACTACACGTTCCGTCTGCCAACACAAACATCTTTTCGTTCTAAATTAGCGCTCTTGCAGCTGAGTAACTGTCTGCCCATATGGAAGTATATGGACAGAGCTGTCAGAGAGTTTGAAAAAGCCTGACATTGCACCCATGATCCACTGATCACAGGTGCAATGCTTTGCAGGCTCCAGGGTAGGAAAAATAAATAAATATATTAAACACACTTTTTTTTTTTTACCTGCAAAATCATGTGAATTTATTTTTTGTAAAGGTGAACTTAGACCATTCAGAGTATGAATCAAAGGCTAACACTGGTTAGAATTTTGTTTGAATTTTTTTGTTTTAAGAATGTTCTTATTCTTTCGATTTTCTAATAGTTAGTGGTCTCAATATAATGTTCATTACAGTCCATTTACCCCTATGGACCGGTGGGTGTAAACAGATTTGTGTCTGTTTATACCTGCCTATCTCCAGTCTGATTTGGTCTGGCAAAAAAAATTAAAATAAAAGTTACGGAATAGGAAAGCAGTCAGGTGTAAACAGACAATGTAGTCCATTTATTCCTAGCTGTCCATAGGGCAGAGAGGGCTTTGTCCGTGTCCAATTTGCAGAAACTCAGCATCCCTATATTTACAACACGGACCTGTCATCTGCTGCCCTGCTCTGATCAGCGGGCATATCTCCTGCTGATCAAAAGGAGTCTGCCCCGTGTGAAAGAGGCCTTATCCAGTCAAAGAATTTTTGTACAAATGTTCCTTCGAAAATCTACTGGTGCAAAGCCAAATTAAGGTCAGCAGTAGTGTACCCTAAGGTTTAGTGTTGGGACCCTTGAGTTTGGGATTAAAAATACCATTCTTCATGGTTTGCAGAAAACACCAAGGTATGTAATGTAATAACGTCCTTACAGGATGTCTCCAACTTTCAAGCAGACCTTAATGCACTATTTAATTAGGCAACTATGTGGCAAATGAGGTTCAGTGTGGATAAATGTCAAGTTGTGCACTTGAGGACTAAAAACATGTATGCCTCATACATTCTAGGAGGTGTTCAACTGGAGAAGTCAAGGGCAGAGAAGGATCTGGGTGTACTGGTAAATTAGGAGAGAGAGAGAGAGAGATCCTGGGTTTAGTAACACTTTAACCTCCACATATGGAAAGGTTTCTTCACAGTTCAAGCTGTAAAAACATGAAATAGGCTCCCTTAAGAACTAGTTTCGGCCAGATCATTTCTTTTCTTTTTTTTTGTTAGGCCTGGATGAATTCCTGAATACACAGAATGTAACTAGATATTCCTAATCTTAGGTAACAGCACCAGGGATTGCTGATCCAGTCATATAGGATTTCCTGTTAGGGAATCAGGAAGGAATGCATTGGTTATTTAGGATTTTGTTTGGCCTTCCTCTGCATCAACCGTGGGTATAGGGTTCTGTAGATAGAGGTTTTCTATTTATTCTGTTTATTTTTTCTATTGGTTGAACCAAAAGGGTTTGTCTTTTTTAAAGAGACTATGTGCACTGGTTGCAGCTCCTCAGGAAAGAGGGAAAACTCCAGAGGGTGCATGGTCAGCTAATCAAGAGGCTATATAAAAGTGAGGAGTAATGAGCGAATAACACAAGCTTCTTCTTCCTCTGTCATGTGTGTGAGACTTTGTCCTCAGCAAGGGTGCTGACAGTGCATATGATCAGCTGCTAAAGCTTGTGGCTGGAAGCCTATTTAAAACAGAACTTCAGGCAAAAATCTAGGGAACTCAATTTTATGCCCCAGATAAAATCTCCTACCATACAAGTAGAGCTGTAACAGTTCAAAACATCTCTCCCTGAAATCATGATAATGCTTTTCAATCTAATTGAAAAAAATGAAAGGAAAAAAAAAAAATGGATGCAGCTTTCTAAGTCACCTCTCCCACCCAGCCCACTAACTGGACAGTATACTGTATATCTATGGTAGTACTTCATCTAATATGGCAACTGAGTCCCATGTATGGCACTACCTGCATGGGGTTTGTGTGAGTATCTTCTCACACAATCTAACATACAAATACTGGTAGGTTAACTGTCTTCTCCCAAACTGGTCCTAAACACACTTTTTTTGTGTGTAATGACATTATATTAGTAGTTCCTTTATGGTATGAAAATGGTTCGATGCACTCTAAAGCACAACTTAATGTGTCGGTACTATGTAAATATAGGAACTGAATAACAGAAAGCAGCTATTACAGCTGAGCCAGAGCTTCACAAGAAATCTCAATGTCCCAAATTCAACTCTGTCTTGCAGAACTTCTTTAAATAAAGTGGAACACCACTCCAAAAAACATTACATAAAACCGTTAAAATAACTGCATAGCAATTGCCTATTCTGCCAAAGGCATATCAGGTAATCTCAGCACAATAGTTTGCATCCCAGAATTTGGGAGGCAAGAAATCTAGCACATAGTAATTCCAAAAGGATACTAAATTCTGGCACCTGACACAATAATACCAGTTTCATCAGGATAATAATTTGTCCATTATGTTTACAAGTTTAGTCTGTGTTTCTGTTTAGCCTTGTGATCAAGGCACCCTTTCCAGACAATGGAGAGGATTTACTAAAACTGCAGAGTACAAAATCTGGTCCAGCTCTGCATACAAACCAATCAACTTCCAGGTTTTATTGTCAAAGTTAATTGAACAAGCTGAATTTAGAAGCAGATTGGCTACCATGTACAGCTGCACCAGATTTTGCACTCTCCAGTATTAGTAAAGCAATCCCACTGTGTCTAAAGATAGAATGAAAACTTGAAGCTAAATAACTCAAGAGATGTTTGCAATGTAATGAGCTAAGCTAATCTAAAGGGAATCTATGCTCTAACACAACCACAACTACTATACACCCCAAATGATTCAAACACCCTTTCATCTACTGTCAGAGGCACAATCTCAAGTTTTACCTGTAAAACCATCTGCTGGTAAGCGACAGAGCAAGGTTGTTCGGGGGGGGGGGGGGGGGGAAAATGCAGTGATCATAGGAGGTTCTAGGTTACTAAACTACAAAGTCTCATTTGTTTAATTGTGAAGCAATGGGGGCATTAGCAGTGCCCCTTACCACTTTCAAAAAGTTATATTAGAGCAAGGGTACCCAAAATCTCATCGACCCCTTCCTAAAGTTTATCAACCTCCACACATAAAAAGGATTTAGTAAATACTTCTTTAAATATATTAGTACTATGAATAATAATAATTATTATTATTGTCTTGTGAATACAGTCAGCATTTCCCATTAGTATCAGACGCTGCCATTAGGGTTGTTACATTGCTGAATTTTTAGTAAATGCGGAGCACTCTGTGCCACTGAGTACCATTACTCTCTGGGCAAACTCACTGGCACTGCAACACTGTCCAAGTTGGGGGCAGTCCCTGGATTTCCAGGAGAGTTTGAAAAGAGTGTGCTAACTGAATCTTCAACAGAGTACACTCAGTATGGGAAGTAGATGTGCGCATGTATTCTTCAAGGAGGGAGAAAGGTGCAGACACACAATGCACAGCCCACAGGTAAACAAGGCCAGTAACACAAAACTGAACTTGATGACTCAAGGTCGCTCTCACTGGTGACTGACCATCCAAACCTGGGTAACACTTTCTCTCTGTTAACTACTGATCTCAAATAATCAATTGACCCCAATCATTATTTATCGACCATCTACCTAACGTCCACAATATATTTACTGTCTCCCCTTTGACCCCTAGCTATTTTATTGACCCTTTGGATAGTCCCATCAAACCTCCAGGGTCATTATTGATCACCTTGGGAAGCCCTGTAATAGCATAAACCCAACATTGTACTTTGTCAGCATAGGCATTTTAACCCCTTACTTCCCAGTGGGGAAGGGAAGATCAACCTGATCATGTGACCACTGACCGACCTTTCACAGGGGTCCCATGATTAGGCACCAGTTTCGCCGCCTCCTCCTCAACTCCTGATCATTACTAGAGGCCGGAATCTTTATGATAGCTTGGGCTTTAGGAGAGTGCAGTGTGAGTACTCTCACCACAGAAACCTCTGAAACCTCTGCCACCCATGGAGGCACATTTTGTTATGTAGAACATGTGTGAAGAAGCTTGGGCTTTAAGCCACTGCACGCATACACATATGTGTTGACATGGGTTACATGGCAAGTGATTAAGAAGCAGGTTTTGTTACATGCAGTATCAAAACAAAATGAACATATGGTTCATCTCAGTGCAAGGCCTGTTGGGTCCACTTCCCCTTTATGAGAAGAGCAGGGGGAAACATATTTTACTCTTCTCTATTTGATCTTTACTAAGTTTGTGAATCGGGGAAGTGTTTAGTAAGGGAAAGCCTAGCGACCCTATCAGATTCTACAAAAAGAACTTTACCTGTAGGTTTTGTTTTTTCGTGTTTTTTTTTTTTTTTTTGTTATATAGAGGACATGTATGCAGAGCTCCAAGCTATAGTTGCCCTTTAAACCGATATATAAACATACTTTTATTGTGCAGTACATACTTTGTGAATAGGGAAAAACTGAACTGTCACAAAGATATCAAATGAAATACCTTTAAGGCCTTAGACGACAGTCCGTCTGACGACATTGTTGCTTAGTGATCACTTCCTCTTCTGTAAAGAGTGCAAAAATACAACGAACCATTAATAACCATTTGCAAAAGAATGAAAAGAAATAATCATGTCAAAGCAGCAACTTTGTAGCAAATTATGTTGCATAACAGTCTCTTGGGATTATTTTCTCAAGTGATTTTTCTACTTTCAATAGCTGGCTGCTGCTATAGCTGCTCCTTTACTTGTCTACTATGCATGTCCAAACCTCTGACATAACATTCTCATCAGCAGCTGTATTAAACTGAGCAGATGCTGAAGTTTCTATAGCCAGCTCCAAGCGCGACATAAATGAGCTACAAATTGCTGAAAATTACTGTAACAAAGACTTTTCAGTGACTGCAATTCAGTTTTTCCTAGCAACAATTTATTTACACACGTGTTTCAGTGATTATAGAAATATATGCACCAATCTGACAGCAGATCAGGGCAAACAAAATTCCATCAACATTCACATCATACCACAACGATTAAAATGAGAAAGTTAAAGCATAGAAAATTATTTTTATTCATTTGCAACTTGCATTTGAACTTGCTAGAAAAATTGACTAGCCAATTCCTTAACATGACGATCCTCCCTCCTTGCATTCCATAGCCTTTTTTTGGGCGTGCCTAATTACCCGTGTGCTGCCCCAGCTCCTCCGCCTCCCCCCTCCCTACATAAACTTTAATGTAGGTGGAGGTAAAGTAAAATATTATAGAATGTCACCTCAGTGACAGCTCTAGGTCTGCTACCATCACTTCTAAGATGGCAGCTCCCAGCGGCAGTCTCAGGTCTTTAGCGGTCTACACAAGGAAGGCTTTTACAGTTAAACAACATGCTTAACATACATTAAAAGCACCATAATAATGGTCCACCTTTTTTCATGGATTTAGTAAATGCACCCTAAATGTGCTTAAAATGTTAAAATGCACACATTATCTTATAGGAACAATTGAGAATCATGGTTGGTTACATGATCTCTGCTGAAAGGCCTTAGGGAACTAAAATTTAGAACCAGCCAATCAGTAGCGTTGAGTAAATTCTAACCCTCCGATTCAACAGATCCCTGTATCGGAGAGGGCTCAGGGTGTTGCTTTTTCCGCAGCAACGGATTCCATTAAAAGGTTGATTTTTTTTTTTTTTAAGCAGTGGTCCACATATGACCATCATTTGACTATGGTAAAAAAAAAAAAAACGTCCCTTATATGAATAGATTGGATCTGCTATTGTACAGTCAACTGAAAAATTAACTACCATCACTAAACCACCGGTCAGATGCGCTAACCTGCAATTTTTTCCTTTATGTGGTATTCCTGGTTCCACTGTTCTTTCAGGCAAACAAAATATCAGAAGCCCAAGCTTTAACGCCACCCCTGAGGAAGTGCATAGGGTTTACAGTCACCCATTGACTGGCTCTGGATATCTTAATATGTGACTGTCTCAAAAACACAGGCACTAAATTTCTAAGCATTCAACAGCAGACAGCACCGGTCTTCAGTGGGGTTGCCACCTCATCGGTTTAAAACCAGGCACGTATTAATTACACAGGTTCCGTGGCTGATTAAGGTGGCAATTAAACTGACTTAGTGCTTTATCTGCATTGAATTAACCTCAGAACCCGTGCGATTAATATGTGTTCGGGTTTAAAGGGATGAGGTGGCAACCCTAGTATTCAGGCCTGTGCCTTTCCCTGCTGCCCAGCGTCCTCCTAGAGTCACTGATCCAGGACAAGAATGGAAATTTTTATATTTGATTATTCTTAACAAGCAGTAAAAAGGCTTCAGAACAATCCCTCAATGACCTCTGTAGTTCAAGGCACTATTGAACCACAGCTCACAACCCCCCCAGCCCCCCCTAGCCCCCTTCCTAGCCCCTCTACACAGCTCTTGACCCCCGAAAGCTTGTCTGTACAAATAACAAAAGTCATCCTCACATTTCAGCCTGGCTGGCAAAATCTAGCAGGGTGCTTCTTGTGCCTGCACGTCAACATCCAATACACTTGATTGAGACATAATGATACTATTGAAGCAACATTCTATACACGGTTTTGGGGCATTAACGTGCAGGCAGTGCCTTACTAGATTTTGCCACCTGGGATGTAAGTAGAGCAGGCATCTGCTACCCTCAGATAAGATAAGTATGCACCTGGTTGGTGTTTAACTTCAGATAGATAGGAAGATTTGGGGTTTAATTAAAACAGTAAACTTTTCCTTGAAGTTATTTATCTGTAGCAGGGCAGCACAGTGGCTAAATGGTTAGCACTTACGCCTGGCAGTACTAGAGTCGTGGGTTCGAATCCCAGCCACAGCACCTCCTGCCTGGAGTTTGCATGTTCTCCCTGTGCCTGCGTGGGTTTCCCCCGGGTGCTCCGGTTTCCTCCCACACTCCAAAGACATGCTTCTAGGTTAATTGGCTCCTGTCTAAATTGTTCCTAGTATGTTTGTTTGTGTATGTATGAATGTAAGTTAGGGACCTTAGATTGTACACCCCTTGAGGGTTAGGGACTGATGTGAATGTACAATATATATGTAAAGCGCTGTGTAAATTGACGGCGCTATACAAGTACCTGAAATAAAAAAATAATAAATCTGTAGCTCAGCTTACCTTGCTCCCCCTCCCCAGCAGTGACTTGGCAGTCTCTAATGTAAACACACAGCAGGTGCTCTGGGAATGGAAACAGAGTGAGCTGAGCTGCTAAGAATAAAAAAAAACAGACCTTCTGCTGTGGATGAATTGCTACACATTGCGCTCAGATACAGAAGTCACCGAGTACTTATTGAGCTTATTTGTTTATAACCCCTGTCATTGTGGCCCATTGGAGAGATTTTCTTTCACTTCCTGTTCCATAGTCAAAACTGGAAATGAGACAAAATCCTAGGTTGTCACCAGAACAATTGTAGTCAATGGAAGATTTCCACGCCATTCCTATTTTGGTGACAACCCAAAATTTGGGATTTTCTCTTTCTATTTCACTCTCAGTGAGACTGGTAAACAGGACAAAGAGTGAAATCCCCTTACAGGGGGACAGACACCAATAAAAGAATAACAGGGGTTCTCTCCACTCTATCCAAGACTAAAAAAAAAAAAAAAAAAAGTTTTGCATACAGAACATTCCAGTAATTTAATTTCCTGCTTATATGATTGGCTCACTGCTTTTCTAAAACTCTGACCCCTCCTCTGAGCAGCTCCCTATAGGCTCTACTCTGTTCTATGCTATAAATTTTCCTACACTATATGTGAGATTACCCCTTTTTTTTTTTTTTCTTTTATTGTGAATTGATCTATGTATAATCGCATTTTTGTACTTAGTCCTCTTGTACACTGGACATTTTTACAGCTGCTGTTTTTGGCTTTTGATGTTTTTTTTTTCTACAGCCAGTAAACTCCCCAGCATGTTATCTTATGTGTCCATGCACACATAGACTGTAATCAACGTTTATTGGCTGGAAAAAAAAAAAAATAACCCAGAACTGGTAGGTTTCTAGAGGAGTTTTTTAGCTGTAAAAAGGCAGCAAAACACAGCAAACCGGCATTTTTGGACTTTTGACAAAAAAAAACACAAAACAAAAAAACTGAAAAACTCATGTTTTTAATGTGTGACTTTACACAGCTAACGTTACCAGCGTTCTCAAAAACGCCCAGTGTGCATGGAGCCTGACAGATGCAAGTTACAATTTCAAAAGTTGAATCAAAGAATAAAATACAGTTTCTAAACAAAAAATTTTCCTACATATAAAAAATAAGTTGCATTCAGTTAACTTATGCTGTTATCATACAGAACATTCTCTAACTCTCATCCAGTGATCATATGATTGGTTTGTTTATGCAAAAGATTTAGGTAAAAATGCAGGCATCTCCAGCACTATCCCTTGTTTTACTGGAGTGACTGTAAACCTTCAATTTTTGTCTAGTCATAGTGCTGGGAATGTGATGTTTTTCTTATGATAACAATGCCATTCTTTAAAGTGGAACTGAACGCTGGAAGCTGTGCCAAAACAATTGCCCATGGTCTTCTATAACTAATCTTTCCCCCATCGCTGTCTTACCATGCCATGTCCTGCACTGTCTCTATGGAGGCAGCCATCTTGGTAGAGGAAGGCTTTCACTTCAAGTCAAAGCCTTCAGCAACACAGTAGTGACAAATCACCTAAGACTAGCAGTCAGTGGCAGCATGCCTTAATTCTTACACTACAAATATACAGCTAAAAGGTTGTAGACACCCTCACATACCAGGAAGTACACTATTTCTCAGAACGAATTTCAGCAAAAAAAAATATGCGGTTTAGAAACCATTCCCATAGAAGTCAATAGCTTGTAATCAGCACCTGAACCGGACCGCGCAGCTCAGAAATCAGACATGACTTTTTAAAACCGCACTGAACATATATGACCAGGCACTATAGCAAGCAATGTTATTTTACATGTCATGCGGATTGGATGCGGTTCAAACCACATCCAATACGCTTATATGTGAACCAGCACTAAATCTTCTCTATGACATAGTACATCTTCAGTTTTTTTTAGTTCAGTTCACTTAAGGCGTGCAACAGGCCACTTAGCTTTTCATTTTGAGAAAATAACTGCAATGGCAGCATACTGTATGGCAATTTCACATGGGTGGTCTGTTTTTTTTTTCATCAGTTCAGTCACGTTTTTTCCAAGAAGAAAAAAAAAAAAGTGATCAGTTCACATCAGTTTTTCATCCGTTTATCATCTGCTTAGCTTTTTTTTTTTTTTTTTTTTTTTTTTTTTAAAAGGAGTGTTTTCTTTCGTTCACAGAAAAAAAAGAAAAAAATTAAGCACTTGCCGCCCAGCCACTGTAGATGCAGGGCGGCACACGCAGGAAAAACCACGTTTTACAACGTGTGTTTTGTAAACAAATAGGGGGCACGCGCGAGGCGCGCCGCTGCCCTATCTGTCCCGCCGCAGATGTGAGTCGCCGGGTCATAGCCGGTCCTTAGCAAACAGTGACAGACAGCACAGCTGCAGTAGCTG